ATTTTACATTGCCGAAATTCTCATTATGTACAATTGGCGATACACTACAGTAACATTCCTATTAATGGTCTTCATTACAATTTGTGCATACACGATATAAATATTGTTTTTCTTCTTTAATTAAATAAAACAACAATAAATAAACAATAAACTTGTAACAATGTAAAATCGCTGTTGTTCTTAGATCCTTACTGATCAAAGAGGAACAACTCTGAAAATGTAGGAGATGTTAAGGGACCAGGCAAAATTTATCACAATGATGGGACCGGTACAAACAGGCATGGGACAATGATTTTTTTACTGCAGAAAACCATGCATAGGACAAAAACATTTTTAGCATTAATTAAGTATACCCATGGGACACAAAAATTTTTTCAATGAGTTACACTACTGAAGGCTGTTTAAATTTAATTCTATGTTTAACGTCACATCTGAAGTTCAAAACCTATTAGGGAGGGAGGAAAAATAGATAAACAAACAAAATCTTTAAACAATTGTGAATTTATTCAAATTAACCTATACAGTACATCACAACACTATAATTGAGTAAAAAGAGTATTGGATATGACAGCTCAGTCTAATTTCTCAAGCAGAAGATTTTCCCTTAGTCTGTAAATGGGTTGAGTCCATTTCTAAGCAAACAATATAGACTAAATTTGCAGGAGAGTGGCTTTTAACTAGGCTTCGCTTGTCCTTTGGATTTATATTGCCTCATGTACCCTGTACTAGATTGTATGGAAATGCTTCTTCTTTGGAAATACTTGTGCAATATCTACAATTAAAATTTATGATGACAATATTTAACACAGTACATTCTTATATTGAAATATCTTGAAATTTAATTATGCTGTTTTTTTCCTTATAGTAATAGTACTAGATTACAAGCATTTAGTTTTGAAAGTGCAGATACTAATATTTGGACCTTACATGTACATGTAGCTGTTAGATTATCTTAACTTGAATTCCAAACACATAACAATTGATTCTTCTCTTCTTGGGATAGCCCAATCACTTTCCTTCCTCTCCTTCATTTGAAACTCCCCATCTTCTGTAAGCTTCTCTCTGATCAAATGGAAATGACTAGTATTATCCTTCCCCCAAAATTGTAGCTATCTGTGTATGAATACTACATTTATGAAGAAATATATCTTACTGTTCCTTTAAAATTTTAAATAAATAGATTAAGATGAAGTAATTTTTAAAATTTAAATGATGTATCTCAATTTTTATTATAAAATCTGGGTTTCTGACACACTTTGTAAAGTTTGGATATTCTCTAAAATTTAATGAAAATTTCAGGCAACATAATCACGAACTGAGAGTCTTTGATTCGAAGACTGACAAAAAAATCAACAAATTGGAGTTTGGCATTAACTTCTTTCATAACATCATCTATTTTCTACTTACATTTATTATCCCATTATACTGTTTAATTCATTATTCTTCTTTAAACACCAACTGCAGTATCGAAGCTAATTTGTCAATACGGGAAGCAGATTTAGGTCGCTAAATGTAGAAGCAACCGGAACGGATATAGGATTTTTTTTTAAATCTCTTTGTTTTTGTTTGTTTGTTTATTCAGGAAATGGCACATGTAACATAAGATTAGCCTATAGAAACATAAGTCGGCACATAAATAAATAAGACAATATATGTGTTTTAAGAAGCTAATAGTATAAAAACTCATTTTCAGATATTGATCGCATTTTGGATAAATGAAAAGACAGATTTCTTCTTAACCTACGTGTGCGGATGACGTTAAACATAGAATTTTTTTAAACAGCATAACCCAAGAGAGAAATTCATTATGTTTAAAAATATATATATTCTTTTTTTTCCCGAAAATTGTCGTATCTTCGAAAGTCAAATGAAGGATTCAACTAGCAAAATAAATCTTCAAATTAAATAATGAATACTATTACAAAGTATAAAAACAAAAAATCAAAAAGAAAATTATTGATACATCTGTAATCTGAAAGACTCTTAGTTTTATTCCAATTATTTCACTAACACTAAGATGTTACCATGGGACAGTGCCTTTTTTTCGTCTTAAGGCATGGGACCGATATTTTTTTTTCAAATAAAATGGCATGAGACACAGACTTTTTTAAACTGAGAATTTTGTTTTGTACTGGTCCCATCATTGTGATAAATTTTGCATGGTTCTTAATTTTCCTCCCTTTATTCACGGTTTTCCACAGAATCAGATACATTTACAGCAAGACCTGATAAATACGAGAATTGAATACTATAGACCTCATATACACAATGTAAGTATAGAATTGAAAAGAATTGTTCACTTGTACTGAAATTATCTGCATTTATGAATATCCTATTGCAACAAATCGTAACTTTGACTTTCTGTCAACAATGTCGGTTCGCATTTCGTCGAATCAAAACAAAACGTCGCCTATAATATCTTAAAAAAATATCAATGTGCGATTTGATATAAATTGAAATAGATGAAGAATTTAATGTTTGATATTTTGAAGTGAATGTGGACGAATACGGAATACTCATTTTAACTTTAGAAGCGACGACATTGAAAGAATGCATACAATATCATGATGGATGCATGTACATCTATTGATCTAATGCAAATGTCGATATATCCCCACTGCCACATACTGTCTCGTTTGAAATAATGGCATGAAAGAATCGAAACTACAATTATTCCATTTATATTACAGGAGTGTTAAACATACACCATTTTTAATGAATAAAATTAAAGAAATGAAATTAAGTGATATGGAATGCATAACGCATACGTATATGGACTTAACACTAAAATCTCTCAGTTATTTCTTCCTGATACATATAAAAAGAGTAACCAATATTTATTCTGCATTCATGAATTTAAAAACTATTGCATACCTCTTGGATTCTTGACGAAATACCAGTATATTTGCACCGTAAACGTTTCGTCAAACAATAATGGTCTGCGACGCAAAAAGGAAGGGTTGGGGGTGATAGGGGTATTCAAAAATTGCCTGAAAATCTACATTTAAGGACGCTTTAAATATTAGAACTTTTGAATTTGTAAGTTATTATATTTTTGAAGCAAAAGCAATATTCCAAATTAATTTTTTTTAATGTGTTTTTGTTGATTCATGTAACAAAGTGATCGTCTGAAAGACGCGCAGAAATGTGATTTTTTGAGAAAGGGGGAGGGGGTAATTTACCGCTATTAAATCAACACTGGTTCCTGTCCAAAAACCAGTCGAACGATTTTGTCTAAAATATGCATATATGCAGTAAATATAGTCATGCACTATATATACAAAAAAATAACAAAAATTAAACGACAGGAATTTTTGGGGGTAGGTGTGTTGTAGTTCCTTAAATATTTTTTATTCAAATATTGTTCTAACTCCGCAGAAACGCACGGCGACTTAAAACTTTCATATCATATAACCGACCGCCTCCTGGCGGCCGGTAACAAGGAGTGCAACGGTTGTCTGTGACGCCATGACGTGACGTCATGGGCGGTCCACTTACCCAAAAGGAAAAAAAAACCAAACAATCATACACAATTTACTAGAGATAACTATATTACGTTTTGATACGAGTACAAGTGCTTGCACCTCCCCGTTTTAAATTTTCTTGAATGTCTACTTACTAGTCTCTGGTTTCTTTTCGCATATGACCTCAATCATCTAGATTAGCATTTCAGGCAGTTTTGTTCCTTTTGGGGTAAATGGACGTGCCCGTGACGTCACGTCATGGCATCGCAGACAACGGATATCTGAGCGAAGTTTTGGAGAATTGTCACTGCTGCTGCTGTAAACCATGTGTTTGAAATCATATGCATTAAGAGCCATAAAGAATGGCCCCTTCCAAAAAGATTGGTTTGTGTTTTATAATTTTCGAATGAAGATTAATTGTGCGACAGCCTTGATATTAAGCGAAGGGTTAATTACCAGGTGACCTAAAATGCGTTGCACTCCCTGTGCTATTATTATAGGTATTATGTTTTTTTTTATTTAATGAAAATTTCGGTAAAATTGATGGGTACGCGATCTCCTGTGCTATGATTTAATATCGGTAGTAGGATTTTAAGGGGTATGTACTCTAAGATATATTTCATAAAACATATGCAAAGGAATGTCTTTTATGGGCATTTTGGTTAATTTATGATTTACTGAAAGGCTTTATTGAACAAAAAATATTTATTGGACAGAATATTTTCTTCAAAGTAATTTTTTCTTAAAAGGTGATTACACCAAAATTACTCTTAATTTATGTTCGATAGTTAAGGAAACATATGGAGATAACGAACAATATTAATATTCAAGACCAAAAGTTCATAAATCAATTATAATTATACGAGCAGAAAAAAAAACGTGGACCTCCAAAACATTAAAATTAGGATCAGGTGCCACGGAATAGTGGGCATCCCCTGCCGACCGGAAAAGCCTGTCGTTTGTCCATTGTCATAATTGGGAGATAACAGAAAAATCCCTTGTCAATTCAGTGTGAAAATAATGTAATGACAAGAACTGCATGTAATCCAACTATTATTGGCGTCACTTTTTTATTTAAATATTCGCTATTCGTCAGTTTAAAATCAATCCGCGACGATTAATTTCTGCGACTAACCATTCTCTACAAATTTTGAGCAACATGAATGGTTCTCAACGATTAATATAGGTAAACGAAACTCGCAGATAAATTTTCGCACGCGAATAAAAGTTGGTTTAAAGTAGTATGAAAAATGTTAGTCAGCATTTGACATATCACTATACTTATACGAGCTTGGTCTCGGATAAGTGAGTTTAATTCAGTAACCCTACTGTCCCTCCATTCTAGGTATCTTAAGTCCTTTCAGATATATAATAATTATATTCAACCTAAGTCACAAACTATCATTCCGGATAATTCAGGTACATTTGCATTCAAGTCTAATATTTACTTCTTTCCTCCTCTTTCTTCATGTTGAAGCGATAAAACGGCAAGGTCATGGAAAATTTTAATGTAATGTTTTAATTCTTCCCACCAACCCTCTTCTTGTTTGAAAACAAATACTGCTGTTCTTGTTATGTCATCGTATCTGAAGACTGACTGCTTGGTCCTGCATCCACAAGAGCCTATATGTCGCAGCGATAATGCTTGGTCCAGCTTCTTCATCCACTTGTAATGCATTAGTGAATTCTGCGTGATTGCGTATTCGGCAAAGACTGCCTGTTGGGTAAATTAACGTCCACATCAACCAATGTCGCGGTTATGAAGTCTCTATTTTACCTTACCGTGATGAATGCCTGTTTGGGATAGTGTTTTTACTTTTTCTGAATTTTTTCTTTGTTCTCCGGTACTTTTTTGTCCGCGAGTGTTCTCGTAAACTACTCATCCGATCTAGGTGAAACCTTTTTAGGGTCACTAGGTATGTTATGTAGATGTGCGGAACGAAGGTCATTTTGCGCGCACGTGCGTGCAGGTGCGCGCACGTGTAACACGTGAAATGACCAATATAATAGATTTAGCCGTAACTTTTTAAATATTGGATGAAATGCTTTGAAACTCATAATATAAGGATATAATAGTAGTATAGACATGATGACATGGTCAAAATAGCAAGATCTCACGCGCATGCAGGTGCCCTTCGCTGCGATTGGCTGAAACTTAAAGTCTAAATATCTATTTTGTTTTCTGACAAAATCCTTTGAAATTTTGAACATAGTCTTACATTATGAAGATCTACAGCATGATATATAAGAATAATCATGAACGCACGCACATGCACGTGTGCTGCAATCTGATTGGCTAAAACTTTAAATGCCTACAACTTTCTTGGTTCTCAATAATACAGGGTGAAATTTCAAATATGAATAGATATAATGATTGCCTACATTATACTACTATCAAAAGTAAATACATGGACGTGCATGCACATGCGACCGCACACAATGTATTAAAAGACAGTATACTTGAGTGTTTGATGTTCATGCAGAATTAAGAACTTCTAAATGTCAAGACATGTAACATACTGAAGCATGCAGATCTTTTTACCCTTGACCTTGAAACTTAGGTCAAGGTCACTGGTAACCTGAATAAAATGTTGATATTAACTATTTACCAAAATCACCTTGACCTATGAACTTGAAATCGACCTTAACCTTTGTCCTTGACCCAAGGGTAAAAAGAAACATGAAGTACATGTACATGTATCTAGAAACACCTTTCAGAGTTTATTTCGGTTGACAGGTTAGAAGTTAAAGAGGTGGTGGTTTTTAATGACCTTGACCTTTCATCCAAATGTCACAATCAATCTTAAGTTCTTGGAATAAGATACAAGATTCAACTCCAACGTTAAATAGGTTAAGAATAAAAATAACCCCCCCCCCCCCCCACACACACACAAACAAATCAAATTAATGGCAACGTAGAGAATCACTGTTAAACTCAAATAACACCTCGGACCCACATAAAATTTCAGGAAAACTGCAGAAAAGAGCTCGAGGAAAGTGTATTAAAATATTTCATTTGAGTTTCCAAAGTATATAGAAATTATTAATTTATACAGAAAAAATTACAAATCCTGTCGTGTTTAAAATTAAAGTGCAGATGACCAAAGTTGGCATATAAGCCTTTTATAGCCTATTTATTCAGATGTCGTTAATAGCATTCGATTCTACTGATTTGAAATAATATTTTAATACCAAGCATCCTTTGTTTAATTTACCTTTGAAATTTATTTGAATTTTTTTTTAGAATTACGCAATCCCCAGAAATAGCGATTTTCGGTATATTAAAAATCAATATACATGTACGCTCCTTCGTAAAATAATCAGATATTTGCATTCATGAAAAAAATATTAATAAGAAGGTGTTAAACAATATAGGTCACATTAGCTGACACGAATGTCTTTTTAAACATCTCTTGTAAAACCCAGAGAGTAGCCCCCTATGCATTGGAAAAAATGAATAGTTCCGGTCAAAAAACCTTTATATATTTATTTACAAAGTATATAAAATTTACCAGGCACAGGTATCAGAGTTGTCAAAATGGCCTGAGAGGAAATATTAAAAAAAATTCTGAACAGAAAGGAAAATCCCTTTTCCATGTATGGAACTACTATTGAATATAACCAACCCCGAGCCCGATCTTAAAAACACGGTAGTAGAAAATTAGAATTTTGCTGTTTTATTAATTTTTTTGCTTTTAACTTCTTTTCTTGAAGCCAAATGATATGAAAACACTCAAGAAGGTGAAAAGACTTCATATTGTTATCTGAATTAAAATCAAAATTGTAATCTGAACAATTAGTCTCCTTATTATGTTCCCCAAACGAAGTTTGGGAACATATTGTTTTTACTTTTTCTGAATTTTTTCTTTGTTCTCCGGTACTTTTTTGTCCGCGAGTGTTCTCGTAAACTACTCATCCGATCTAGGTGAAACCTTTTTAGGGTCACTAGGTATGTTATGTAGATGTGCGGAACGAAGGTCATTTTGCGCGCACGTGCGTGCAGGTGCGCGCACGTGTAACACGTGAAATGACCAATATAATAGATTTAGCCGTAACTTTTTAAATATTGGATGAAATGCTTTGAAACTCATAATATAAGGATATAATAGTAGTATAGACATGATGACATGGTCAAAATAGCAAGATCTCACGCGCATGCAGGTGCCCTTCGCTGCGATTGGCTGAAACTTAAAGTCTAAATATCTATTTTGTTTTCTGACAAAATCCTTTGAAATTTTGAACATAGTCTTACATTATGAAGATCTACAGCATGATATATAAGAATAATCATGAACGCACGCACATGCACGTGTGCTGCAATCTGATTGGCTAAAACTTTAAATGCCTACAACTTTCTTGGTTCTCAATAATACAGGGTGAAATTTCAAATATGAATAGATATAATGATTGCCTACATTATACTACTATCAAAAGTAAATACATGGACGTGCATGCACATGCGACCGCACACAATGTATTAAAAGACAGTATACTTGAGTGTTTGATGTTCATGCAGAATTAAGAACTTCTAAATGTCAAGACATGTAACATACTGAAGCATGCAGATCTTTTTACCCTTGACCTTGAAACTTAGGTCAAGGTCACTGGTAACCTGAATAAAATGTTGATATTAACTATTTACCAAAATCACCTTGACCTATGAACTTGAAATCGACCTTAACCTTTGTCCTTGACCCAAGGGTAAAAAGAAACATGAAGTACATGTACATGTATCTAGAAACACCTTTCAGAGTTTATTTCGGTTGACAGGTTAGAAGTTAAAGAGGTGGTGGTTTTTAATGACCTTGACCTTTCATCCAAATGTCACAATCAATCTTAAGTTCTTGGAATAAGATACAAGATTCAACTCCAACGTTAAATAGGTTAAGAATAAAAATAACCCCCCCCCCCCACACACACACACACACAAACAAATCAAATTAATGGCAACGTAGAGAATCACTGTTAAACTCAAATAACACCTCGGACCCACATAAAATTTCAGGAAAACTGCAGAAAAGAGCTCGAGGAAAGTGTATTAAAATATTTCATTTGAGTTTCCAAAGTATATAGAAATTATTAATTTATACAGAAAAAATTACAAATCCTGTCGTGTTTAAAATTAAAGTGCAGATGACCAAAGTTGGCATATAAGCCTTTTATAGCCTATTTATTCAGATGTCGTTAATAGCATTCGATTCTACTGATTTGAAATAATATTTTAATACCAAGCATCCTTTGTTTAATTTACCTTTGAAATTTATTTGAATTTTTTTTTAGAATTACGCAATCCCCAGAAATAGCGATTTTCGGTATATTAAAAATCAATATACATGTACGCTCCTTCGTAAAATAATCAGATATTTGCATTCATGAAAAAAATATTAATAAGAAGGTGTTAAACAATATAGGTCACATTAGCTGACACGAATGTCTTTTTAAACATCTCTTGTAAAACCCAGAGAGTAGCCCCCTATGCATTGGAAAAAATGAATAGTTCCGGTCAAAAAACCTTTATATATTTATTTACAAAGTATATAAAATTTACCAGGCACAGGTATCAGAGTTGTCAAAATGGCCTGAGAGGAAATATTAAAAAAAATTCTGAACAGAAAGGAAAATCCCTTTTCCATGTATGGAACTACTATTGAATATAACCAACCCCGAGCCCGATCTTAAAAACACGGTAGTAGAAAATTAGAATTTTGCTGTTTTATTAATTTTTTTGCTTTTAACTTCTTTTCTTGAAGCCAAATGATATGAAAACACTCAAGAAGGTGAAAAGACTTCATATTGTTATCTGAATTAAAATCAAAATTGTAATCTGAACAATTAGTCTCCTTATTATGTTCCCCAAACGAAGTTTGGGAACATATTGTTTTTACTTTTTCTGAATTTTTTCTTTGTTCTCCGGTACTTTTTTGTCCGCGAGTGTTCTCGTAAACTACTCATCCGATCTAGGTGAAACCTTTTTAGGGTCACTAGGTATGTTATGTAGATGTGCGGAACGAAGGTCATTTTGCGCGCACGTGCGTGCAGGTGCGCGCACGTGTAACACGTGAAATGACCAATATAATAGATTTAGCCGTAACTTTTTAAATATTGGATGAAATGCTTTGAAACTCATAATATAAGGATATAATAGTAGTATAGACATGATGACATGGTCAAAATAGCAAGATCTCACGCGCATGCAGGTGCCCTTCGCTGCGATTGGCTGAAACTTAAAGTCTAAATATCTATTTTGTTTCTGACAAAATCCTTTGAAATTTTGAACATAGTCTTACATTATGAAGATCTACAGCATGATATATAAGAATAATCATGAACGCACGCACATGCACGTGTGCTGCAATCTGATTGGCTAAAACTTTAAATGCCTACAACTTTCTTGGTTCTCAATAATACAGGGTGAAATTTCAAATATGAATAGATATAATGATTGCCTACATTATACTACTATCAAAAGTAAATACATGGACGTGCATGCACATGCGACCGCACACAATGTATTAAAAGACAGTATACTTGAGTGTTTGATGTTCATGCAGAATTAAGAACTTCTAAATGTCAAGACATGTAACATACTGAAGCATGCAGATCTTTTTACCCTTGACCTTGAAACTTAGGTCAAGGTCACTGGTAACCTGAATAAAATGTTGATATTAACTATTTACC